TTTAATCGCTACCATCTACCTTATCAAAGCTTCTTACGTCTGTAGGTTGGCAACGCTTCTGATGTCTGTAGGTTGGCATCATATTCTGGACTCTTGTGTTTTTTCCAACTGTTTTTTGGAGGGCAAAGGTGCTGTCCCAACAAATCGCTCACTTCCCTTGTCCTGAACCATCAAGCTGGGAGAGAAGGATGCGATATCGCCATCCGCCTGCGGAAGGGACGGACTGGTTGGAGGGTTGTTCAGGGTTGGCTGGGTACCGGGTTGCCGCTGACCAATTGTTGGGTGGATGAGGAGTGCCTCGCTAGCCATAACAAACGCATGAACGGACAAGGGTTTGGCAACGTAGATCGCATCTTTCATGATCTTTCTTGCAGTTCACTTGCAGTTCACTCGAAAGTTTACATGGTGAATTCTCTGAACTCAAACCATCTCCTCACCTTGATTCCCCACATGGGAGTCCAATTGGTCGGGAAACCAGTGGCCTTTCACCCTCACATGGCTCAACTCTGGAGACCATCCCCACCTCCACCCCCACACTCCAACAGTTCACAAGGACACCAATGGCCAAAGCCGATCCCTCGAGCCCCGATCGCTCTGCTCCGCTCTGCTCCGCTTGTTCTCAACCTCTCCACTTGGCCTCCAGTTGCGTGAGGAACGGGACAAACCCGATCGATTCCATGTGTTCTGCCTCGCGCGTGGCCGATGGATGCGGCGAGTGATCACGGGTCCGACGTACGGCCGAGCGGAGCGTTTTGGGCCAAGCTTGGTTTCCAAATGAGCCTCCCAGTAGCCGGAAACGCGAGTGGACCAAGTAAAGGTGTTCTTCAAATATTGGGGTCATTGTATGTCATTGTCATAGTCCCATACTTTAAATATCTTTAAATCATATACCTTTTGGTTCGGTGTTAGAAAAAGGCGATTCTCTGTGTCTGAAATCATGATACTGCTTACAACGCTATTCACCGTTTGCTCACAAATCCCCGTCAAGGTGGAGCATGTCCAATTTCAGTATAGTATTCATATGAATTGGGATGAAATCCCAATGTTGCTTGGAAAGGCAGGTGTTCCACAAAAACATGAAGCGTATCATCATCATCATCATCATCATCATCACCATCATCACATGAGACTTGATCCCACATGAAGCGTCCTCAATCGTATGTCGGTCGGCAGCTCCCACCTCCATGGGGAGGTCGTAAACGCCAGAGACGCCCAAAAAGACCTCAGTACACGTGGACCCGGCAATCTGGTGACAGTCACGCTGAACAACCCAGTGGCAAACTGCTGGTCTCAAACTGCTCAGCCAGCGTCAACCTGCTCAGCCCACCTTGAACATGGAGGCAGACCATGGCAGCTTTGCGCCTGCACGGGTGATGCAAAGCCCCGAAACGAAGCGGAGCACGAAGTGCTGATAGAAACAACATGAAACAACTAAACAACTCCTACGCGTCGCAGATGGAGTTTGGTCATGTTGGTAGTCTGAACATGGCTGAACTGTGTGGGTATGGGATGTGTTTTTCAGCCGCTGGCATACCCAAAAAGCAAACAATTTGTTTCCTGGAGCTGGAGCTTCCAGCAAAGGCCACAAAATATCCAAGTTCTTCTGGGTGATGTCCAAAGAGGAACTTATACATGGGTACCACTAAACTGTTCTGCTTCATGTGTAGCAGGCAAAGGGCAGGGACTAGCTTCTGTTCTGCTCAAACTGTCACACTTCATATCAGCAATGAGCTTTCAAAGTTGTCTTCCCAAATCAAGCATGGGGATGCGCCTACTATGTCGATTGTATGGCAAAAGACTGCAGCACAAACCAAACGACAGCACACCAACTAGGGGTTTGAGGGACCCCCCCCGTGACTTCCTGCACAAGCTTTCAAAAACGCTGATCTATACCTTGGCCTTGGAGGCGCATGTTGTGCCGTTTGGCGAAGCAACACAATGTCAGTCGCTTGTGGTCAAATGTCCTGCTTCAATTCAAAAGTAAGGTTTTGCACGGTCTTGTCTCCTTTAACTCAATGAATTGGTTTAAGGGAAAATCTGCAGGAAACCCATAGATTTTGATTAAAGACAACGGTTTCCTGTAGATGTTCCCTTAAACCCATGCATTATTAACAGTTTCCCAAACAGAACATGGCCAGGCCCAGGCGGCCTAGAGCCATTGTTGGGCTGGGAAGAGTCACAGTGCAAAAGTCGACGTGCCGTTTGCTGGAAACGTTGACTGAATTGAACAACGGCATGCACATACATACGAAAACCCTATATATAGCTATATTATACAGTGATACTCATATATATATATATACATACATTATGATATTCCAATGATGCCCAATGGCCTAATCTAACAAAGTGTGATCTTGATGACGCTGTATGTGAGAAGGAGTGCTCTTGTGCGTGCCATGGTGTTCATGAACAAATATAAAACCATGCATTGCGTTGCTTCGCGGTGTAACAGCATCATGGGGTTTCCTGGGGAATCTCGGTGGTGTCCTCTCCTGGAAGATCCTAAGGATCCACATACCCTCCAAGAAGGTGATTGGAGACATTGTTGTGTATGTTTGAAGGGTCCAGTCGTACCTTCTGAGAAGGTACGACTGGATCCCTACAGAATGCAGGCCGAAGAAGTCCTGGGAGGCACGTCTGGGGGGGGGCCCGAACCTTTGCCCCACAACCGGACCACATGTTGTTGTGGTCCGAACATCGATCGGGTGCCTTCCAGGTCCTCTTCCGCTCGCCGGCACTGCCGCAACAGCAACCTGATGGCACCACCGGTCTAAATCCGAACACGACGAGTCTGGGATTGCCAGTCCGGACTGCCGAGAAACGGCCAGGGGGTGGTTTGGGAGGTCAATGTATCATGCCATGGAGTGTCTGGGAATGGGACTTGACATGGACATCATAGACTTCTTCCACTCAGGGGATGGTGAAAATCACTAGACACAACAACCTGAACAAAACCCATATGGATGCATCACAGTGTTGAGATGGCCACACAGGAAGTCAAAGCCAAAGAGAATCATGCCACCTGATAAGAGTAAATAACCCTCTTTGCCGTGGCGTTGTCCTTCGAGGACCGGAGAGGCTCCAGAAAGGTGTTAGCCCATGAGCTGCTCTTGCACTCTGACACACTAGAAGTACCAAATCAGCTATGGGAAGACCATGTTGCTGTACAAACAGGGGGTGGACTCCATGTCCACGGAACGGGAGTGGGAGTGTAAAAAAACCACAAAACACCCCAAAAGTTCCTCCTAAGACCGTCTGATCCTCCCAAGACCCTCTGATCCGCCTCCCTAGGACCCCGCCCCAGCTGCAGCTCTCGATCGCCTCTCCCATCCCGCTCGGCTCCCGGGCGCTGAGGCCAGTTGAGCGCCAGCGGATTGGCCCACCAAGGCGCAGTTCGTCAAATCCCCGCCGTAGGAGGACTCGGGGCCGTCGAGTCCGGCGGAGTCCGTTGCCGCCCCCCCCAAAAAAGCGCGGTTCAAATGACCATGGGTGTTAGCCGGGAGGATGAGATATCGGCAAACAGGAAGATTTCAACGAATCATCATAATACCAGCCCACTGCCGGATAGAAGGGGGGCTTGGTTGGGGTAACAAGTGTTCTGTAACAAAGATTGGACAAGTCGCTATGACAAATATGGGTACTTCACCTCATGCGAATGAACACTGATGGAACCTTCAGCAGCAAAGAAACAATAAGAAACATAGCGAACTGAATGTGGAACTTCAACACAAGGCTCTTGCATGCTTTCGGCAAGGAAGCATGACAGCAATTACCTACATCCGCTACATCTCACCAAAAAGCAGCTGCAGGGACAGCTTCCAATCTTTTCCCTTGCCCATCACCTTGGGTTCGTCACATTCATGTGAAATCTGTACCATACCCCCATCTGTACCCCTACAAATCATCACCCAATTCTTGACAATTTTTCGCTGTTTCTTAGTTCGAAGCACAGACCGCCCTGGTAGGCACCGCCCAGCTCTTAGTTCGAGCCCTCGTCCTAAGCTTCTCCCCCAGAACCTCGGCTAGGATATCCTGCCAGGTTGGTCTGGATCCATTGGAAGGCCGAATCCAAGTCATCCAACATGTCCGGCAGGGTGGCCATCGGGTAGTTTCCTTGGGAACCGACGGAGAAGGCAAGCGAGCTGGTGCGAGAGGCAACAAAAACCCAACAAATTGCCCGTGGCGAAATTGAGGGAACAATGGTCAACAGCTCTACCAGCTCTACCAGCGCGTGAAGTTCCTGCCGAATCCACAATCTGAAAACAGCGGAACTTCCATGTTTAAGCTGCTTTTTGTGGCGTGTACCGTGTACATGTTACCTGGGTCATCCTGTTTGGGTGTGGTGTCCTATAGACTACCCTACACTGCTTATGGACCTCCATCGGACACCCATTGGATGATCCTGGTTGGTACATACAATAATAAACTTATATAGGTCCTTTCTATGTCCTTTCTGTTTCCGCTTTCAGTGGGGGGCGCCACCGGTCTCTTTTGCTGCATTGTGCGATTCTTGTTGGCTGCTCTTTGAGCGTGCCATGTCTTCTCCGGCGAACGCACCCAGTGTGCCGTGTCTAGTTGCCCTGTCTAGTCTATGGAGCCAGTTTCACTGGCTCATGCCGAGAAAGCATGGACTGGCTCAGAAGAACCCACAAAACAGAAAGTTTGTTGGTACCCAAATCTATACCGGCCTATTTTAATAAGACCATCCTATAGCGGTGTCCAAGTAAAGCCTAAATAGTCTATGGATTTTTTCTTTGCTCACCAGGGAACCATGTATAGGAAACCGACCCATCTATCCTCCATCATAAGAACGCACCACCCAGGTACAATGGTCAATGCTTCATGCCATCTTTCGAAGAAATCCGCGCAAACCACATTGACCACCCAGATTGTTACCTGTCGGGGGTCTGAGCCTGGACATGTTTCGAAGCGGAGCGAAAACGAACCGACGCCGAAGAATGATGACTCAAACCGCCGAAGAACGTGTGATGCATAGGACTCGACACGGGGATCTTTGCCCCGATCCCATCTGAGATGGGCACACCTGTGCTTACAGGTGACAAAGTCGGTCCAAATGTGACCCCTGAGAAGCAATGGGCCCGGATTTGGTAGTCAAAGCTGAACATGTACATGGCTGGACTCTTACTGCGAGCTTTGAGGTGGGAAGATATCCAAAGGTATATATATATATATCCATTCCCAAACCATCCATGGGACTTGCTTATTTACCTACAGTAGGGTGGTTGACCTGGGGTCAATGTATATACTGTATAGGCATATATGCCAGTCCCATGGATGCTTTGAGCAAACCAAGAGCTCCTCAAAAGCATGCTCCTCAGCTAAGGCCGGAGCTCTTCACGGCCCGGCCCTCTGTCTATCCAGGCATTCTGCCAGGCTTGGAAACGGTTGAAACGCCGCACGACCCGCCGTTCCGATGGCACCATGGCACCGCCGCACCTTCCACATGTGAGGGGTGAGCAGTGCGGCCATGCCATTGGCTGCGATGGCGGCGGCGCACGTGCTTTCCCAAGCAACTGAATGTTCTCAGTTTCCTGAAAGCACAAATTTGGGGTTGTCGCTCTGCTGCACAACATGACAGATTTGAAGAACCACAAGCTGACGGTCCTTCTCTCAAACTTGATCGTATACGTTGTGCTATGTTGTGCTGCTCATGTGTTTGGTTCCGCACACCTGTAGGCTGCCTGTAGGTGTATAAATCAGGTACATGGTAAAACTCAGTGAGCACACCTGGAAGCTCCGATGAAAAAGAGCCCTCTGACGAGCAACCACACGGACCACACGAAGAAAACCCACGTGGCAAGCGGTTCAATATGGTTCAATTGTGGCCCACACCATCACCGTTGCTTCTGCTAAACTAAGAATCACATACAAAAGCCTTTTTTTGGGGATCCAGTCGTACCGGACCCTTCTCAGGTTCGGTATGGGACCGTCACCTACATACCAGTGTCTCCAACCTTCTGAGAAGGTACGACTGGATCCCTTGGGGAACGCAGGGATCCAATACGCCTTTTGCGAAGGACGTGTCCTTTTCAGGACATTCGGTCTGCTTTCAGGAAGGGAGCTTCTGGGGAACATACACGAAACATGTATACAAAGACAAACTATGCAGCCCTTGCCGAACAAACACTAGACTTGTGTCAACAGCACTTGTGTCAACAGCAACAACCTCCACCGGCGCGGCCGGAGCGTACGTATGCATTGCTGGTCAAGACATCGCGCGCTCTGGGTCGCTCCTTTGGATTGGTCTTACAAAGCGACTCGACCTCGGTGCAGAGGGTTGGTCGAGGGCCGCCACCGTCGCTTTGGAAGAGGATGATTGGTTGGAGAGGTAGGGCAGGCCGGGTAGGTGTTCTCTTCCTGACCAGGGCATTTGGGGACCAGATCTGATCGTATTTTCGGTGAAGAACATAGACGGACGAACAGAAACCTTGCGAATACTTGCAGACCTTGCTTCTTGAAATAAGGGGTGATATGGGTTGTATATGTTTGAATAATTATTCAGTCCATCTACTGTAGTTCCTACAATTCTTCCCCAAACCCCCCTGGTGCTACTCTGCTTCAATGGATCAAAGACTCCTTCTCGGGTGCGTGTTTTCACAGCTCTGTGAATCCCAGAAACAACACTGCTTGGGGAACCATCAACATGTTCCAAAGTGAACCCGTCGTAGACTAGTAGACCAAGACAAAGCCTCCAAACAGGTCTCTATCAATAGAAGCTCGTCCCTTAAACGGGCCCTTTCACCTCTTGGAGGGTGTGATTTGATCTTTTCTACCTCCTGAGATGGTGGTTGGGAGCCCTGCTGCCCTTGCTGTCGACCTTCCCTTGCAATCTTCCACCCTCCTCGATCCATGATGAAACGCCCAATGAAGAGACGTCGGTCCCCAAAAGTATCCCGAAGTGCACTGTCAGATCTCTCCGCTCAGTCATTGAACCCGGGCTGAACATGAAAAGGCGTATCAATAATATATTGTATAATTAACTATATTGGGAACCTCCTGGCAGGTTCGGGACATAGAACAAAAATGAACAAAAGAACCAACAAAAGCCACTCATTGGTGTGGGAAGCTGAAACCGGCCGACTGCCGGCCGACTGCCGACCGTATCGACCGTATCGTCTTCCTTCACCTCGGAGCCGCCAACTGCCTGTTCGCCTCGCTTCGGAAATTCCACCTCCTGCCGGTCAGACAAGCAAGGGGAGCAATAAATGACAAGGGAATCACCGGTCCTCAACCGTGCTAGCAATTGCCAAGCAAAATCCATGAGGTAGTGGATGTCCAATATCTTCGGATTGGATACATGATACATGGATTTACGACACCCGTCCCCGCTGGAAAGGGATGACACCCAATCGAATTCACCCTGTTGGAGGGGAAGGCGGGCGGGTGGACTCAACGAAGTGACGGTGCCAGCGCAGCTGTGGAACGAGTCGCCCTGCACGACGAAAACGGCCGCGCGACCTATACAATACCATCAATACCTGCCTAGATAACCCTCTCAAAAGACTGGCACGGACGACCCTGACAATTAGACGCATGGAAGCCCGGTGTCCTTGGCTGGAAGCCGTGATTTCCTGGGTTCATGTTGGTCTTGGAGGAAGGTCACTGCATGAGGGTCCAAGACTGCCAAACAGCTGGAGATCTCAAAAGCTTCTCCCAAAAGTAAAACAAACACATCCGTCCAAAAAGGCCTCTGTCTAGTTCTCCGCAACTCACGTGGCCCACATGCTCCGCCCTCTGCCCATGCACTTTTTCGCGGGCATCCACCCCCCCAGCTCTTGTCAGTGAAGGGGATCTCCAGGTTGGGATCCTCCGACGTCCAATCCGGTGGACCCCACGGACTTTGGGATGTCTATGAGTGGCACTAACTAGAGTACTGGTGGTAGGTGACGTCTTTCAATATCAAAAACACTTTAATGTCTTGTGCTCAAGAGCTCGTCCCTTCCACAGGTATGGCACACAAGAATATTATATGCTGATCCATGAATACCCGTGTCTACGGAGGTTGTGGAGGCTGCTGAGACACATGCTCTGGAAAATCGAGACTCACACAGACAAACAAGCAATTGTCCTATATCTCAGGGTATATCTGGCCTATTATAAGACCATTATAAGTTTCAGGGTCGAAACCTTTTGTAACTATGGCACTATGGGCTTGTTTCCCAAGGGCACTATAATTCCAAGGTCGAAACCTCGTGGTAAAGGACATTTCCCTTCATTATGCGTATGGACGTCCAGTGATTGTCCCTACAGAACTCCACCTTTGATTCGTGTCCAAAAACACATAGAATGAATGAATCATGCAAATACAGTACATGGACATGCCTTTAAAAACAGCTCTCAAAACACACACACACACACACACACACACATATTGACACACGCACACACACGCACGCCATTAACTATATCAGAAGTATAGTTATAGTGGATGCCTCACTCTCTTTGAAACATCTCCGCAAGGGACAGTGACTTTCTCTGACCGTCCCGGCCGCCGGTCCTTTAAGGCTCGAGCAATTTCATCTTCCTCCATGTAGCGAGTGCCACACGGAGCCACCCAGGGCTCGTAGCCTTGGTGCGACATGCGGGTTGGTGTGTTTTTTTTCGGGTGGCTTGGCGCTTCCTTTCGGTCTGTGGAGGTGTGTAGCGTCTTGCGCACGCAGGGGAGGACGGTGCAAGGTTTTGGAGAAGAAATCCACACGATATGTCTGGGACCTACAGATTGGACTGATATGTACATGTACCGATCAGTTGGGGTGGTTGACCTGGGGTCGTAGGCATAGAAGCGAGAGGCCCCAAAACTGAAGCTTTGCACTTTTTCATGGCCTAGTAGCACACATACTACCGTTACTAGCACCTTCCTTGGTCACCTGGCCGGATTCTACCCTTGTTTTTGGATCTCCTGGTGGGTCTGTAGATGAGGCCAAACACCTGAAGTTCATACAGATGCCATGGCCGGCTGCTCACCATTTTGGGGCCGACAACCACCCCAGTAAGACGAGTCTGTGGCATGTCAAATGAGCTCAACCTCAAAGGCAAGCAACCAAAATGGAGGACTCACAGCTCAACCTCGGGTGGTTCACTCACCCCCCACGACCCCAAACGCTTCATGCAACTGCAGTCCGGACTGGCCATATTGTCCATGACGGGCTTTGGGGGTGGTGTTCAGATTCAGATTGTTCAATCCAAGGGCCAGTGCGGACTGCAGTTGAAGCGGTCCGGTGAAGCGTTTGAGAATGTTTCGGATGTCTCTACGCCAAAACATCCCAAAAGCATCTTGCGGGGTGGTGCTTTCCAGTCGCTTTTGGGTGCGCCTTCATCAGGGCTGGCACCCTTCGCAGGGCCCTGCCTGCATGTAGACTCTTGATTCCCCCCCGAACATGGAGTGCGGAACCTCTTCAATATGGGTTGAAATATCGTCTACATCAACAGGGGTGACCGGGGTAGAGTCGTCAAAACCGATGTTCGAGGGTCCTGAAACCTGTTGGATAGTCCTGGTTTACACGGTCTATGTATTGGTTTCAGGCTGCTTCTGTTGAAGGTACCATTTCAAGGTCGTCCATGCAGCTTCCAAGCAGGGCATCTTTCTCTTACTGCGCCCACGCCATGGCGGGCTCAAACGAGGATTGAAATGCTATTCGTATACTAACCTTTCACGTCCGCAAAACAAACTCGATTCATACAATGTCCGAGAACTCACCATCAATCCGCGTGAATGGAAGAAGAGCACGCACCGCCAAGGCACAAATAGAGCAAATGTAGAGCGTAATGCCTAAACTCCAAATGTCACAAGACCTGGGCTTTGCGTTTGGCGCGAGCCACAATTCTATAAAAAACAACACAACCCACATCACGTAGAAGAGCATTATATACCCAAACACTCAATGTATGGAATATATGCCTACATTGACACCCCAAACCACCCCAATGACCCCTAATGTACGCATATATTATATGGCATACATGGAGTGTATGGGATAGAAGAACCATTTATTCTTCTTTTTGGCGGTCGTGTCAAGGAGATTCTGAATCCAAAACAATCGGTGCCTGATTGACATGTTGTTTCGAGGCTTGCACTGTGGGTACAAAAGAGAAAAGGGATCAACTTCCAAGCAACAGGGAGTTCCCATTCACCACTTGCTGGCTAGTGCCCAGGACTATACCTGAAACTTCCAGAGGTTGCATTCTTAGAATCTTTTCCTGAAGGGCATAGCGCGACCTCTTTGAGAAGCACCCCTTGAACTTCTGGCTAAGGGTGACTGTGATCACCCAGACCTTCCATGCGACTGGAATCTCTTCCGCCCCACATCCCAACCCAGATCAATCACCCCAACTGAGCACCTACGCCAGTCCGGTCGTGTCTGGGACACTCCGAACTCGCACCCAGGCGCAAACCGATCCTTCCATTCGCCAGTGTCCACTGACCCACCGGTGCGTTGGGCTGAAACCCACACCGCCACCGGCCAGCTCGGCCGAGGATCTCTCGGTAACGCTTGGTAAACACCTCGGGCGCCATGGTGCTGATCGTGCCCACCACCTCAGCGCGGAACGGAGAGAGGTCCGGGGGTGTCTCGGAGAGGGTCCGGTGCGTGGATGGACCCGTGCCGCTCTCGGCCAAGAGGAAGAAAACGGTGTGAAGCACGGGACCTTTCACATCAGTTGGGTGTTCCGGGATAGACTGCAGGGTGCGGCTGCAAATGTTCCCTGTTCTCAACGTGACCCTTCTCTCAAGTCGTTTTTCGGGGATTAATCACATCCCAGAGACTCCATGGGACTGCCATAGCTTGCCGATCAGGTGAGGTGCTTGACTGGGGGGTCAATTTTTCTCGGCATGGAGTGTCTGGGAATGGTTTTTGTTGGAGACCTGCAGTCGAGACCAGCAGTCGGGACTCAACGGGTCAACATGGGTCAACACTTGCCACATCTCATCGTCTTCGAGACCTCGGAGACGACGCTGGGATGTGCGAAACCCTGCGTTGAGAGACGTTTCTTCTTGTGCCAAACTGCTCAAACTGCAGTTTCTCTCGTACATGGATGCATCGCCAGCCTCCACCCCCCCCCCCGCCGTTGACCTTTCGGAACACCGACGGCGGGGTCGCTGGAGGTGGAAATCGAGTCAGACCCGCGCCGTTGGGCGCGGTCCAAAAAGGGCTGGATGATGCTGCTGACACGTTTGATCCCCACATATCGATGCTGCTAGTTGAATTCCTCCGATATAAATGCTGACATCATATGCTGACACTTTGAATGATTTCAAGAAATTATACCAGCACCTTCCAACAGGTCTCCTCTGGAGGCTTCTGTAGACTTAAAAGTCGCAGGTGGTGACCTGTTGGAAGGTCCTGGTAGATGTCCTAGAAGTCCAGATCGCTAGATTAGGCACCACCGAAGAACTCGGATGTTCCAGGATGTTTCCGGAAAAACGACAGCTCGACCCTTTGGTTTAAAGTCTTGGACTCCCAAACACTCCCAGGAAAGGTATGGAAACCCTTGAAGTCGAACTACCATTTGTTTTATTTAATAGCCTGGATCCCAAACAACCATTGTTTTACAAAATGATTTCAACCATTTTAAAAAGGTCTTTGACTTCCAGGGAAAAGATGGTTTATGATGGTTTCGGGGATTCCTCCACTGTTGCACCCGATAACGTACCGATTTTACCGCTGTGGCTTTTCTGAAAGTCTCAGAAACGAAGCAAAGCTTGGGGAGAAACAAAAGTCGGCCGTGCTTGGGCGCTTGGGGACATTGGAAGCTCTGATTTGCACAAGGACCTCAGAGGACCTCCGGACCGTCAGGGCTTTTGACCAACATCCAACCTCGTTTCACACCACCTTGTAGATCTTGTAGGTGTCGGCGACACCCTTCTTCCACACACCCATCTTGATCCCCAACACACACACAGTCGGTACCTCAGGATCGATCCCTCATCGACGCCGCAAGAACCCCAAAAAGCGTGAGACAAACGAAGAAGCCACGCCACGTCTGTGAGATAGCCATCTGAGGTCTTTTGCAGGTTCCCAGCGATGCCAAGGTCAATGAGCTTTACGGGAGCTTCTTCATGATTCCTCAGGCAGAAGCTCAGGCAGCTGGAGAAGGACAGAGTGAAATGGCAAGGACCAGTGAAACAATATGACAAAACAGTTGGGAACTGGCTTTGAAGATCACTAAAAAAGACACGGGCCAACAAAAGGATAAGAGTCACAGACCTGAAAGAAGTACAACAGCGTGACAGGCATAACCTTGCCCCAATCCCAACGCGGCTCAGGTGCGACGTCCTCATGTAGTTCTCACATTTGATGTCCTGCGCAGCGGCATTGGTTGTCCCTGAATTTCTGGTGAAGGAGGTGAAGAGTGCGGGGAAGCAGGCGAGTGTATGTCTTCAAACGCCCAAATTCTTGTGGATTTGAGACCTGCGAGTTCTTAGGTCCACACGCCAATGCAACATTACCATCAGCTGGCTTTGACGCCCCATTTTTGCACATGTACATCCATGTTTGCAGGCGCACCCTCTTGGTTCACCCCCTGCAAAGGATGCCTTTCGGGTCACAAGAAGGGTGTGCCAGCGAAAGAAGGACGAAGTGACCGGTCACGTCCAGGACGAAGCTGCGGGCGGTCCCTGTGCGCAATGTAATGGTAGTGCAAATAGGCGAGCCCAGAGAACATCTGCCAAGTGTACATCTGCAGAATCTCATCCCTGCCGCGAGTATGGAGCGGTTAGGAGCGAGTATGGATGACACGCATGGGGTTGAGTTAATTCAATACCCAAACATACCCAAACAATCCATGCATGGAGTATATGATACCAATACTATATGCCTGCATTGACCCCTGAAACCACCCCAATGTCCAACTCGGTGACGTTTCGGTGGATTCACTCCAAACCGGAAAGGCACCACTGGCACCACCCGTTCCAATTCAGATCAGGGGAGTGCCAATCCCTGCTCACCAACCAGCCCACCCAATAGCAGCCACTTCTGGAACAGGAAACGATGGGAGACACGTCTTCCACCCGCAAGAGCGGCACTGGAGAGGATTTATCCTTGGTACCCTTTGCAAGAAAAGGGAACAGTATCAGTATCACTAATCAAAACAGGAAACTTGAAGTACTTGTGACATCTTAACATCTTGTAACTATATTACATTCTCTTCCAAAGAAGGAGACTCCGTCCAATCCACAGATCCAGTCACGATGGAGATCGGCCGAGCGGCGGGATGCCCACAGACATGCCCATGTCCTGCACGTCAAGATGGAGATGGAAAGCTTCATTGCTGGAAGCCCAGTGTCGAAATCGTGTTTCTATAACCAAACATACACACCTGCTCGACCTTCATTTCTTTAGGTGCTGTTTTGCAGCCTGCAAGATCGCACAGTGTACTTGAGCCTACATGAACGTATTGTGACGTCAGATTTGAGCCTGGTCTGTAAGGCCGTATAGCGACTTTGACTTTGATCATTCGGAGTCCCCTCTACAGCTAACGTCAAGTCAGTTTGTTTGAACAACTGTCAGTCATTTCGCAAGTAAGTATCAAGTCTGGTGTGGTTGCTTTAACATGGTGTCGGTTTTCGGAGCCAAGCCTGGAGTCTGAAAACAACCTCATCTCTGACTGCTTCAGGTTCGGGGTCGACGGATGGCCACCCGCCCATCGGCCGGATTCCGATTCGGAGCGTCGCGCGGAAGTCGCGCCCTTCGGATTCGGCCGCCGTTGTTGGTTGAGCCCCCAAGTACCAGCAAGTGAACATGTTGCAACAAGCCGAAGTGAAATGTATTAGACGAACGGGCGAGAGTTGAAAGGAAACTCAATTGGAAACTATAACTTGTAACACCCTTACATATAAGTGACTCATGACTTCATTTCGGCCGAATTTCGCTGAGAACGTGGGCCATTCAAAAAAAGAAAGGCGCGGGTCCCTTCAAGTCCAACTCCGCATCCTCCAGTCGTCAGCCGCAGTCGGTCCGTCCTGGGTCCCGGTCCTCGCGGCGGAAGGGGAACTTCGAGGCCTCAGTCAGCAAGTCGCCACCTGGGGAGCGGCGGACAGAGCCGAGCGGACGATCCAAACGAAGGGTGGAAGAATCCCAAAACGAATCAAACATTGATGTAAACCTCTTACATTAAGGGTGGATGATGAAGAAGGGTGGATGAATCAAACACTGATGTGGCGATCCAAAGCATTTTACATTCATGTAAAGGACATGTCAAATGGGGGGGTATCGTCTTGTTGGTTCCCGACACGATCGTTTTTGAAGGCTTGCGTTGATTTTTGGAATCAGCACTCCGAACATGAAGGCCTATAGCTGCGCACCCACAGTGGCTATACTTCTTTTTTACTGACTGAGTCCCACATGTGACACAAAGCATTCCATGATAGAACGCTACTCTATTTTCCTTGCCACTGAGGCCCATGTGGAACATATGTGCCTCTGGCCTTGTGGGCCTAAAGATGCTCGGATCAGAATAATGTGATCATGCTTTGGCATTTGGACATGATTCGTCACGCGTAATATATTATATAACAACTAATTTAATATATAGATCGAGTTAGTTGGTTTGGAGCGAAAGAAGCGGCTTTTCCGAAGATGGGGAAATGTGGAGGTGAAGCTGCTTGCGACTAGCCAACAGAAAAAAGAAAACAAACACATCCATGCACCCCCAAAAGGGGGCATCTAGCCCCATACTAAGGTTTTTCCATGACCAATGCCAAGCGAGAACCCTGGCAAATATGTACTTCATCCTTTGTCGAGGTGGTACCGGAGCAGCTTTTCACCAGGTGAGCGACAACAAGGCGTGCTCGAAGCGAAAGTGGCCTCGATCACGATCTCCTCCCTCCAAACAAGAGACACTACGTTCCGAGACGCAATTCGGAATGGTTCTTGGAACCCACTAGGGTGGATTTGAGGCATATCAAACATCACCAATAATATCCAATAAGATCCAAATAATGAGATCCAATAAGCATATAATACCTGGACCTTCAAAGGGTGTCCAATATATTGTCCAATAAGATCCACGTACGTAGTATAGTATATATAGGGCATTATAGGGGTATTCCATTTCGAGACCCCGGAAAAAAAAGACGGTGCTGCCAGCACCCACCGAGAGATGTGTTCGCGTCGTCGCGTCCTTCTCGCGGTCGTCGCGGTCGTCGCGTCGTCTCCAAGCGTTGATCTCGCTCCAAGAGACCTTTGAACAACTCCATGACGAGGTAGAAGTTGTGCTCCTAGGAGCGATAGGGCATCGCCTACGAATCGCTATCGACGCTACGAACTACGGGTTCCAAGGTGCAATTCGCTTAAGCTTCGTAACTAAGTGCCGTATACTATAGTAGTAACAAGGACGCTACTAGGAGCGAGCAAGGACGCTTACTAAGTTGTGCTCCTCGTTTGAGGCCGTTTTTGGTTCGGCTGATCTGATGAGAGGAAATCATGATTGACGTGGAACCCAGGTGGAAAAAGCACGTCTGACCCTGGTTCCAAATCATGATTGACATGGAACTTCCGGGTTTTCGAGAACATGGCCACAAACAGAGCAGCTCTTAGCTCGATTTGCTCGTCAACACTGTTGAAGGATCGATGAATATGGTCAACGACGCTATGCTTTTGAAAGGGCAGCTTGAAGCAAATCTTGGACAGTTGAGCCTAGTAGGGAGCGACCAAACAGCCAAACAAGTAGGACTCTGGATCGACACCTGCACGCTGGACTTTCGTTTCGCCTCTCGTTTCGCTGTGACTCACTCGTGGATGTTCGAACAGACCGTCTCGTGGGATGAAAAAACGTGCCTGCACAAGCAGTGGAAACCAACCCCAAACACTCCATATATGCCATATATATATATATTACCTACATTGGGGGTCATTGGGGTGGTTTGGTCGGGTCAATGTAGATATATATATATATATATTCCATACACTTTGGTGCAGTTATCATAGTGGAATAGTGCCAATGAAAAAAATATTGGTTTAGTTAGGAGGGACGGGGGGGTGGCCGCGCGGGTCGCGCTCGCGGCTGCTGGCGGCAGCGGCCACTGCTCTTCACCTGGTGGAGGAGGTGCGGTGGGGGGGGTGGCCAAGGGTTGAAGGATGTGTTTCTTCAATTTTATGGTTTAAATTTTGACTACAGTAACTAAAATTCAGCGGTCCACTGTCAATGATGATGTTCTGTGAGTTTGGTGATTTGCCACAGCCATGAGGGCTACTAAGATGACGATGCACATCAAGAGACATGTTCTATCATGTTTCAATTTCTGATGGTGAATAGGCCCTAGGCTCATGGTCTCATGGACACTAGACATGGTCTCATGCCAAGGATGACATCATGTCATGCCAGGTATTCAATTTTACACTGAGTTTTGATCATTTGGATCATGATCATTCAATTTATCCTTCATCCTGTCATTCGATCATGGCGGATCCGGTGGATGCTGCTGAATCTGCGACAGAGCAGCGGGTGAGGGTGAAGGTGAAGAGAGAAGAGCAGTTGCTTGACTTGAATCCATGATTTTATCAAAGTCTTCAGTCATCGCTTCTGGTGAACATCGTTGGCATTGTCCCTTTGTTCACAGATCATCTGAGGCTGGTGATGACAAGGGCCGGTGACACCTACAATGAGAAGATCCCGGGGCATATCCATCAGGTTTTCGAGACGGTGCCGCTTGGAGGAAACCAATGGTTCAGTGATTAAAGATGGAAATTTACATCATGCCATGCAAGGTCAGTCATGCCATCATTGATCGATTGACTTGTAGTTCCTCAGTGTTTCTGAGGAAGTTCATGATGCGGCCGCAGTCAGAGATCAAGTTCCTCAATGTCCCGCCATATCCGGACGCGGTCACGCTCACTGAGCGGAAGGTGAAGCACATCCAGTCCTCCGAGCATGAGACAAGTTCCAATCCCAGTGCCTTGGCTGTCTCAGTCTCATTGAGTGCAAAGTCTTTGATGTCTCCCTTCTGTCTCTTGGAGTTTGAAACCAAATATCTAAGGTGAGGCCTTGATGGATGAAGTCCTTTTGGATGATGGTCCCGAGCGGCTGTCGGAGGTGGCGTCGCGCCTTCGGTCTGGACAGGTGGAACGCGCAAAAGTAACTTGGCTTTTTCAATGACTTCATTTGATTTGAGCAGCTTTGGAAGGGCTTCACCCCATCAGTCTTATGTAGTCATTGGAATGTCATTGCCATGATCATTGCACTTGATGTCAGGCACATGTGGAATGGGAGATCGATCCCCACAATGCCAAGCAGTTGGCGCAGCTGGCTATTGGTGAAGTGGAGCGGATCGTGGCGCCGGCCAACCATGTGGGGAACACGCCGCTGAGGATGATCATCCAGCTGGATGGTGCAATCCACAGTGCGGCGCTGGCAGTGCGCATCCTTGAGCCTTGGATCAGATATGTCATCTTTAAACTGTGGTCATGACAACTTGTCATTGTTTGCGACTGTTTTTAAATAAGGACATGATGGAGGCGGTGGGGGCTGATGATCCCAAGCCAAAGGAGGCGGTGGGGGCTGATGATGGGCAGCAGCCAAAGACGCCTGATGCTTATTTTCGACCTGGAAAGGACTCCTTGGGATCATCAACTTTGTCATGACAGATTGAAACAGTCACAGCCATGACCTGGAAAGATCATTCAGGCCATCTGGTCAAAAATACATACACGTACTTGGCTCACTGCGCACAGGATGAGGAGCAGGAGCAGAAGCAGCCATCAAAGAGGGCCAGATCGGAGGACCAGTGTTTAGATCATGGACACATGACTTGATGGCTTCAGATGACATGATCCTGACAGCCAGGACTTGGAGGAACTCGATAGATATCCACCCCTGCTAGCTTTCATCAGCTTTGCCAATTTTGCAATTCTGTTTTTCTTGACATCGGACCATTGACTTCGGACTCCAGGAGTATCCATGGCGGAGGTCATCTGCATCTTCAGCTCCAGCGGAAGCATCAGAGGAGTCTATGGGACGGTTGAAATCCTTGGTGCAAAACCAGCTTGGTGTGAAGCTTTGGCCTTCACATTTCATGACATGTTCAACACCGACTTGGCAGGAGAATCCTTTCCAACATGGCGTGCCAGGAATGTTCAAAGACTTAGAGTGACTCCTGGCTTTGATTGTGGACACTTTGATTCTTTCTTAGGTTGTTCAATTCTTAGACTTGTGATTCTGGACACTTTGAATTTGATGGCTTAAGGATCGAAGAACGAGCTCACGCTTTGGAATGTGAGGGCGGGATATG